ATATGAGTCCATACTACTGCTACTACCAATAATAAAAGTAATTCTGGCACAAAGAATACTAGCACAGACAGCTATGACCTCTCTCCTTGACTTGGTAGCTTTCTGTTTGGGGTTGGGGAGATGTATGGAGGAGCATTCAGTTGCTCCTATAGAACTGTTTCAAGGCTAGAAAGAGTGAGGTGCGCACCTCAGGCTGCAGATACGGAAGAGCCTGGAGGATCACTGAAGTGTTGGAGAACAGAGCTATATGTGTCTGGATAGTTCAGTGTTTTAGGTATCTGACTGTGGAGCCAAAAGTTGGGAGTTAAATTCCCCAAAGTGCCTCCCAGAGCCATAGAGTCCCTTCTAGCTCTGCAGCTCTAAGATTATCCAGCTTTTTAATGTGCATTGGGTGATGTTGTCTTGTTACCAGTAAGACTCAGTCAGCAATCTGGTGAGCTTTTGAACATGAACAGGGCTTGGCCCTCCAATTCTCTTTGCTGGTGTTAAGGGTGAACCCAAAATTTGGCCCAATGTCAATTTAAATGGAAATCTGGGCATTTCCACTTGGAGATTCTGAACATCTGAAGAATGGTAAGGGAGATCTCGGGTTGGGAGGCACTGTGTGCTTGCTGAGTTTGCTGTCCAGTGCGCAGTGAAGAGACAATTCTCAGACTGCAGCTCAATAGACTTGTACTAGAGAGTCTTTCAAATTGACGATTGTCCCCTGCTAGAAGTCCCTCAGATGGCTGCCTTTCCTGAAGGAGGATGTGGCTACCCTACCTAGTCTTGAAGCAGCTCTCTCCTCATCCCACTAAGTTCCTTAATATACCTTTACGTTCACATGTTGGAAATCAAAAGCTTTCTGGAGCCTTTGCATCCGGATTTGTCATGTCTCACTCTCAGAGTCGGTAGGAAAACAACCGTTGGCTTCAGATTAGATTTAGTTCTCACAAGAGTGAAAGTGACCAGGATTTTAATTGTATGTGACCACCCAGCATCACAGATTTCTAAATTTTAAACAGCTGCCATCTGAGAAGCACAACTGGATGTAAAGGAAGGCGTCAATCTCCCCCCATCTGCCACAGTCTCATGAGGGAAGCAGGAGACAAATGAATATTCCCTCAGCCCTGATCCATGCATTTTCCCTGCCAAGCCCCTTTGAATTTTATTTTAAAAAATAGATATATGGGAATTCCAGTCACAAATCTCTCAAGGTTTTATTTATTTTTCACTCTACAGCAGGGATGGTTGCTGGCATGGACGTCTGGACATCACCACTCCAGCCTGCCTAGGTAAATGTCCAGAGGTCTCCGACTTCTCAGTAATAATTCATGGAGTCATACTTTAAATTCCAATCCATTTTATGATCCAGAGGGCTACAGAGATTAGGAGAGTTTCTGTGGGTCTGCAAAAGTAATTCTCTCTCAATCTCTCTCACACAAAGGAAATGAATAAGAAGTGATATTTGATTAAACTCATGATTCTTCTCTGTTTTAAGTCGGTATTTATGCAAAGTTGCTTCCAAGGAACTATTTCAAGAATATTTCATGCCAGCCACAATAAGACTTAAATAGAAGAAAGAAGCGTATGTTCAGTCTGGTCTCCATTTAATACTATCACTCTACTTTCTTCCTCAATGTGTGAAATTATCTACTGGGCTGTTCAGATGGGAAGTGGTGCAAAATTGTAAGTAAATGTATGATCAATAGATCTAGAAACCTCATGGCCAAGGGCATTTCCATTTGGAGATTCTGAACACCTGAAGAGAAGGATGAGAAGGAGGGTGTGTTGTACTTTCCCTTCCAACAGAAGTTAAGCCCTGCTTTGTGGACAGAACATAATATCATATAAGGCATTACAGCAGAAATATAACTGTTCTAGTTGCACCTTAGATCTGAACATGATTTGATACTGCTAGGATTCCACTGTCTAAAATGAGCCTTAGATACTGCTGAAGAAATCTGAGACCATATAATGAACTAGCCTTAGATTAGACCCAATTCAACAAGGACATAATTGTGTGGCTGGCTCCCCACCACCACCAATATCTGCAATCCCTGCTGCCCAAGGGACACCAGATGGGTCTGTCAGGTTTGGAAAAAAATGGTTCCCTTTTGCCAAGGTAAAAAGGGCCAGAAAGGTTATTTGCTCTAGATTTAAGTTCAGGACTCTGAAGTGACTAACTGGTTGCTGCTAAGCCTTTATGCTATTGGGTCATACAGTATTTGTGTCAGGTCCCTGATGGAAGCCAGGCTTTCTCTTAGTTCGATAGTCCTTTGACATGTACACTTTCATGTTTTGGACACTGTTCTTACTGATTTTATTATGTGATCTTATCATAACAGCTCTGTTGTAAAGCTGTATGACTAATAAGATCTATCTTTGCCACTCACTTGCTTTCTGTAATTACCACACGGCCAGGAACACAGAACCACTGCACTCAAGGTAGCTATAGAGTGAAGCTGGAAGTGAAGAATGGCCGTGCTCTCCCAGGTGTTGACACAGGGAAGGTGGGGAAGTGAGCAGAATTAGTACCTGCTAATACTGCCCCTTGTGCTCATTAAAGTGATAAATAGGTTTTGTACTAAATCACTACAAGCTTCAGGTTGGGGCACACCTGCTTACTATACATATCAAACAGAAACAAAGTAAAGTCTCCACATTGGAAATCAGCTCAACATGCTACAAACTGGTTCCTTGGGGCTGTACTTTTTATGCAAAGGTACTTTGAAGACCTCACAGACTGTTTCTACATACAGGTACATGTATGGGTGCATGTGTGAATAGCATGTGAGCACTGTTAGTTTCCCTCCATTCTCTTGAGAGTCTTGACCCTTCAGTATTTTAGAGTTCTATCCTTCCACTTACTTCTCACTAACAGCTTGGATCCTTAGAGAAATTACAGAAGTTAACTGCAGTTTTCCATCACTTCCCCCACCCTTTGCCACCCCAAAGAGTTGCCCTCCAAAAAAAAAGTCAGGCAGGCGCAGGCAGGCTGGAAGTCTTATAGTTGGATTTGGGCTCTAAGATACAGTAATTGAGTTTCAGGAGCTTCGTGGAAGAAATATTTTCTGTCCCCATGTCTCCCCAAAGTCCCCCCCCCTTCTATATTAGTCAGACAAGACTTTCTGGTGAACCACAGCTGACCACATAAAAAGTAGAAGAGGACAGAAAACGGTCCCTTCTACAGTTTTCTTTACATTATGGTTACTACACATCTAGCATCCTATCTACATTTTTACATGTGATGATCATTACATTATTTCATTCTTTACACTAAGTTAAAATTTAGTTTATTGCAATTTTATTGTGTGTTTTTAGTATATCTCTTGATTATAAAATGCATTCATTGTCAAAATCTAAATACATTGAAAGTCAAAATAATATAAAACAAATTTTAGAAGCTATCGGTGTTGTATAAAATTCTACGATCACAATGTGAAATATGCCTGTACAGTACATTATTATCACAATGTTATCTTCTGGTTGTTATTTGTTTTGTTTAAACCATTAAGTAATCTCAGCTCAGAAAAGTTTTTCCTTTTTTCACACTACAATTCCCGGAATTTCAAGGGCAGTAACCTTTCCAAATTTTGATTATTTGGTTCAGGGTAAGTCTAAAGTTATTCATCTCAGTATCTTTATCTTTAAAATTGGTGTGAGCTGTTGGCTGAAACCTGGAAGAGAGGAGGTTTCATAAGGCTGCCCAGTTAATGACTGAGGAGCAAATTAGAAGTCACAAAGGCAGGTTCAAGTGCAGAATTAGGTCTGCCACTTCCATAGGATAGAAGGCACACCATTCTCCAGTCTACACCCCCCACCTACCCCACCACAGCATCTTTTTTCATCTCAGTATCTTTATCTTTAAAATTGGTGTGAGCTGTTGGCTGAAACCTGGAAGAGAGGAGGTTTCATAAGGCTGCCCAGTTAATGACTGAGGAGCAAATTAGAAGTCACAAAGGCAGGTTCAAGTGCAGAATTAGGTCTGCCACCTAACATATAGAAATTGTTGTGTTTATTTGTAAAGAAAAGAGAGAGAGAGAGAGAGAGATTTAAAGTATTCCATAGGATAGAAGGCACACCATTCTCCAGTCTACACCCCCCACCCACCCCACCACAGCGTCTTTTTTCTCAGTGCAGATTCAGGGCTGGAATGAAATCTCACTGGGAGTTAAAACAGGATTAGTTGGAGATGTATAAGCAGGCTAGAGCTCCACTCATTTTCCTTTCCTTTGTTGACATTATGTACCATCAGACAGGACATTTTGGAGATCTTTCATTCATAGGGTTGTATTAAGATCCCTCCAATTTATGGTGACCCTATGAATGAGTGATCTCCAAAATGTCTTATCCTCAACAACTCTGGTCAGCTCTTGTAAACTCAAGCCTTTGCCTTCTTTTAGGGAGTCAACCCATCTCATAATTGGTCTTCTTTTTCCCTACCCATTCCATATTTTAAATCGCTCCCTATCAGTGTCGGCTCATGACTCAAGCCAGAAAGTCTCACCACATGATTTTGGGGAGGATGCATCCTTTGCTAACTCTATCCTACCTGTTGGGGATGTCAACAGCTCCTGGCTGCAGTCCTCCAGCCTCTATCAGCCCACTTTTCAACAACAGCAGCAAAAATAAATAAATAAATCCAAATAAGTTTTAGCTTTCTGGCCATCAGAAATCAGTGACTCGTTTAACTATCATTTCATTTTCTAAGTCAATTTCTTTCTTCCAGTGTTTATCTAGCTTACTGCATCTTGACTTCAATATGACAGGCATTGTCCTTTCTGATATTCCATTGCACAATCTCTCACAAAGGGAGCATGAAGACCTTACCAAAATCAATGAAATTTGGGGGAATTTCTCATGCTGGATTAGCCAGACCTTCTGGAAACTAAGAACATGTAGTTATTTTGCTGTAGATAAGGCAAGCTAAATCTCATTCTGAGAAACTGGTGCCTAGATGCCCTTCAGTCCATCACCCCAATAACTTCCCTCTGAAAGAGATAAGGCTGTTTTCTCACCTCTCCAGACATGTGTGGGGCAACGCTGCTAGACCCTTACACATCTTGCTGTGTGGTGATTGCCTCCTTGATGCCAAGCAGACTGTATGTGAGAAGGCTGGAGCTTTATCTCTAATGCAGCCTAGTTCTTTTCAGAAATTTATAATGCGGCTGCCTTGAATCCCAGCCAGTCCCTTTGGCCAATCACATGCTAGCAAGGATGCTCGCAGGCAGCAGCTGATCAAGCACAGCCCTCATATTCAGACGGGGAAATGTAACCTTCTCTGTCTCCCTTTTTCATCTCTCTCACATTTTACTGTTCTTGATTCAAGAAAGCTACTTTCTGATTATTTCCTGCTCTTCTAGTTGTGCTTAACAGAACAGAGGAAGCAACAGCTATGTTGACTTGTGTTACAAGGGTTACATACCACAGTTCCCCTTTTAGAAAGAAATCACATTGCTAATTCTTATTATTTCTTTCTCTATTTATTTAAAATATTTCTACCCTGCCTCTCTCCTTTAAAAGGGCCCAACAGAAGGCAGCTTCTTCAAATAAAATAGTTAGTGTTTATTAGAAACATGTATTAGGAAAGATAATAGGAATCCTAGCTCTAGCTGAGGTGGAGGGGCAGTGAGATGCTTTTCCACCTCTGCAGAATAAAAAAAGATGTTTCCTCTCTCTTCTCCCAAAAGGAATTAAGAAGGAAAAGGGAGGAAGTGACACCAGCAACCCTAAAAATATCAGTCCAGGCTGAAGGGAGGATCAGGAGAGCTCAGAGCAAATAAAGCGCAGTCTAGGGACCTCAAGGGGGTCCTTCTCTTTCTAGCTACTCTTTCCCAGGCAAAGTCAGACATCTTCGGTGTAAGTAGGAGTTGAACATACATGGGATCAGGTTGCATTTATAGTTCTAAATATCACACAATTGTCCCACGCAACTGTGCATGTATTGTTACGATAACTCAGAGGTTCTCTCATAGAAATGACTGGCCATGTTAGCTGAAACTGCCTTCAAATACAGAGCACGCTGTAACTGAACGGCCAGGGCTAGCCACAATCTTACTGCCACAGGTAGAGGAAAAACCCCGACCAGCCTTTCTCACAGTCCCAATGAACCATGTCCCGATTTCTCCACTACTACCATTCCCCTCCAGATTTTATTTGATTTAATCCTATACTTATTTTATTGGTATAAAACCTTTTCAGCACTCTGTGCATGCTCTAGAAAATTGCTGAGTAGTGGTGGATAAGTGGCCAGGCTCTTGGATTCGTTTTCCCAGGATCCTCGGCAAAGAATAGTGCCCCAGGCAAGGGGTCTATTCCAAAAAGTCTATTTATTAAAAGGGAAAACAAAAAGTCAAAGGCAAAAACATCGTTAAGCTTTTAGATTGCATTCAAAGTACAACGGTAAGGCGTAGGACAAGCTACAAGCAAATGCTACAGGCTAAGATACTGTTTTTTCTAACCAATTGTAACTATCATGATAATCTCTTGAGGGCCCTATTCTTACTTGAAACCAGGATGCATCTCATCCCAGCCTTCCCCTGCCCTCAGGATGGAGAAGGAGTTTCCTGCATCTCAACTGCTGTATGCTTTTTTCTGGACCCCATGCTCCCTCCTTTTGTCCTAAAACACTCATTCCCCTCTTGACCAAAGAGGACGTATATTCCTTTGAGCACTCAGCTACACTTCTCTTTGAAGTAAAGGGTGCGAAACTAGTTTTTGTACTTGTACTTCAGAGAAATGGGCCATCTGGTGTCCTGACTCCATTGCCCTTTCATCTGACAAAGGGTGAGCTCAGCCTTCTTGTAGGAAAGTTTACAGATTGCTCCTGGTTTCCCAAAACAAACTCATACAGTTTCAAGGCAGAGCCATTCCAGCGCCTACCGCATGAGGTGCATTTCTCGATATATCTCCCCCTACAATCTGCATGAGAAGCAATGAACATAAAAGACCAAAATGTGAATCAGGAAGTGTCTACGTAGTTTACCTGCAGTATAATACAATATTGCTGATCTGATAAAGGACTGGTGAGACAGCACTGAAATCCTGTTTGTACAACTACGCTAGCATAAGGCTGATGTCATCAGCAAGTGGATTTTTTGCTGTTGAAATCAAACACTTCTTACTTTACTCCCACAGGTCCCTTATAATCCCTTTCATCGTCTGGAAGCTGTGGAAGCCAGCTGTGGGGTGAAACAGGAAGGAGGAAAATCACAGATGTCAACAGTGTCATCCCCGTTGCAGCAATCTTCACTAGTTAAAGATGTCTTTCTCCCACCCCAGAGCTCCCAAAACATGAAAGGGATTCCACGGAACAGTGGGGTTCATAAAACAGAAATAGAAATTGTTTAATTTCTAATAAAATCACCCCTGCTAGTAGTGTCACCAGCCTTGCATGAGTATACTTGTCCAAATAGGATTCCAGTCAGTTTATATTAAGAAATCTGCATTGTAACTACTATGGATTACATATACACACCTGAATTTTGACAAAAAAAGAAGTCACCCTTGGGAGCTTGGGGTCTAGGAAGATGTAGAATCTCCAAAAATGGTCAGAGGGCCACATGTAATCCTTTTAGCCATGCACATCCTACTTATAGGTTAAAGCAGTGGTTTCCAGCCCAGGTAACACAGGTGTTCTTGGACTGCAATTCCCAGAAACCCCAGCCAGTACAGCTGGTGCTGAAGACTTCTGGGAACTGCAGTCCAAGAACAGCTGGGTTGCCCAAGGTTACCATGAGGCTAGAGCAGTGGTTCTTAACCTTTGTTACTCGGATGCTTTTGAACTGCAACTCCCAGAAACCCCAGTCAGGACAGCTGGTGGTGAAGGCTTCTGGGAGTTGCAGTCCAAAACTCCTGAGTAACCCAAGGTTAAGAACCAGTGGGCTAGAGCATTATGTACTATGAGGCTAGAGCATTATGTCACTCATAAGCCACTCTAAGAATTTATTTATTTATGTATTGGGCTTTTACCCAACCCACCTAAATTCAAATGAAACTATTCTGGCCGGCTTACAGTCTGAGCAATATAAAACAATATAAAACTATTACCAGAAACAATTAAAATTACAAGAAATTCAATTCTTCAAAAAGCCTCAGGTTTATGAATGTGGGATATTGTGCTTCTGAACCCACAATTCAAAAAGCCAGGCCTAATATTGCTGCAAAATATTGTGCCAGCATTTATTTTATTTAATTTATTTATTTTATTAGATTTATACCCCGCCCATCTAGACAAATAGTCTACTCTAGACTAGTAGACTATTTGTCTAGATGGGTGGGGTATAAATCT